ATCGGTCTTCAAATAGTGGTAGGACCAGAATTTCGGCTTGGATAGAGAAAATCTTCTGTAAAAATGCGTCGATAGATCAAAATCCGATTTTCTAAGTCTTAAATTTTGATTTTGTCTAATTTTTCAAGTTTTCTTTCTTGAGTCGCCTAATCGATTGCGATTGATATGACAGATATTCAAAAAAAAACTTGTAAATCAAAACTAAAAACTAAAAAATCGATTTTTACGTGTGGGTGTGAGTGTTGGTTCAGAGTGTAGGTGTGGTTTGGGCGAAAGAATACAAGCCTTCACTACTTGTGAATCCATATCCGTACCTTTCCAACAATATGGATTAACTACACCAGATGAAATGAACCTATGTTATCCATTTGGATCGCGACCTGCACGAATTTATGGATTTCCTAGGGTCCATAAGACTGGTATCCTACTTAGATACATCCTGTCAACCTCTAGTACTTGTAACTATGGTATAGGTAAAATATTAGTCAATCGTATCTCCCATTTAAGAAAATCAGCCAACATTGTCAATGATACGTTCTCATGTATTGATGAGTTAAAGTCAAAATCTTGTGATTATATCTAGTTGTCGTATGGTATCGTTTGACCTCGTGAGTTTGTTTACGATTGCAAAAGAATAAGAAAAAAAAAGAGAAAGAAGAAAGCTGATTGGTGTAAAAATTGTTTAGATAGAAGTAACATGTTATGGTTATTGAAAACAATCACATCAGAAACCAATTTTTTATTTAATGAGCAAGTTTACTGCCAATATAATGGTATCACAATGAGGTTCTCCTCTGGGATCTCTATTGACGGATATCTTCATGATTGAACTCGAAACAACCCTGATGTTCGAACGAAGAAAATCTGGAGTGCTACACTGGCAGCGCTTCGTGGACAACACATTCGTGTTGATTGAATCAGACCTAGACATCAAATCTATCCAATTGATCCTCAGTAGTTTTCAGCAAAATATTAAATTTACATTGGAAAAAGAAAACGATATGAGTCTGCCCTTCTTGGATGTGATGATTAAACGTACAGAATCTGCAAAATCAGGTTTTTTATTGCAGTTCGAGAAATATTAGCTGAAACAGTTAGACTTCCAGAAACCGAATGTTCTAATGAGTTTAACTTGAACAATTTGATAATCATTGGTGAACAAATGTCAAGTAAATATGTTATTGATCCAGATGTTGAATTTAATCGTAAACATCGAGTAAAAAGACCACCGAAGAGATTTGATGTTAATCCTCAAACAACTCATGTATTTTCTCGGTAAGTGCAGTTGATTTATCAAACATTTTCCCTTTTAAATATTTTATCAATTGTCCTAAACACTAGTATTAGTGAAAATTGATTTTTAAATTTTTTGCTCATTTAGTACAGAATATTATCGAAAAACATTTCGACAAGTTATCGATCAATTAATTACAGAATATAAACAACTTTTAATGTTGATGGATAAAAATATTCAGTCTTTAGCAGCATTATCTTTTAAATATATCCTCAAGTTTACTGCCACAGATGCCGATAATATAAGTAAAATGGTACAAATTAATGATAGTGTCTTGTTATACAGTGAAATACAATTATTCAAAGAGAAAATACATGAATGTGAAACGATTGCTAATGCAAGTAAATTTATTCATGAACGAAAATCATCTATTCCATTAATTACTCAAGCATACCAATATCTTTTAACATTACCAGAGACGGCAGCAAGTGTCGAAAGATCATTTAGTAAAATGAAGATCGTGAAGAACAGATTAAGAACGAAAATGAATAATGAACGCTTACATTCATTACTCACATGTAGATGTCGTATCGAAGTTAG